AGCATGTAGTCTTGCGGCGGAGAAACGTTAGTTAATTTTAACTTCATGTGCTTTTTGACACCCCCCTGTATTCTGTTCTCGTTAGACGAAAGCATGAACATGCGATCAAGGGACATATTCGCAGTGGGTGAACAGCTCAACTTTATGTAGAAAAAAACTAAAAAAGCTGTAAATAACATTCGCTAAAAAGGAAACAGATAATTGCAAATCGGTCATCCAGAGAAGTAAGACACAGTTCAACATGCAGGTAGCGGAGAAGAGCAAAAACATCGCTGAAATTTTGTAGAGGAACGGAGAGTAGCAGCACGTTCATGCTTTAACTTTGACATAATCACACTTGATTTGGCATTTATAGGATTGCCGCGTAAGCTCACCAAATGTTCTTATGGACTATCGATCTGTTTGGCGACAGGCACCAATACATTTTTCCACTGGAATCTGGGTTAGTGAACTCCTTGTGGGGGACGGGAAATTCTCGGTCACAACTCACACGCCCCGGACTCTTAGCTCATTTGCTAGAGCGTTCGCTTGAGACATGCACGTCGACCGACCTAGCTTGATCAAAGCGTCATGTGATAACTTCAAAAAAAGCCGGAAACGGCCATTTTGTCGAAAGTCCTTCTGGACTCTTAGTTACTTGACGCTACTCTAAATCCACGATATACTCCACGCCCAAAGCTCCAGTGTAAAGCAGAATCTTTAGCTTATTGTCTTGCAACTGAGAAACGTTAGTTACCTTTAACTTCATGTATTTTTTGACATCCCCTTGTATTCTGTTCTCGTTACACGAAGGCATGAACATGCGATCGAGGGACATATTCAAAGTGAGAGAACAGATCAACTATATGTAACAAAAATCTCAAAATAGCTGTTAGTAACTTTCCCGGAAAGGAAACAGATAATCCCAAACCGGTCATCCAGAGAAGTAAGACACAATTCAACTTGCAGGTAGCACAGAAGCGCAAAAACATCACTGAAATGTTGCAGACGAACGGAGCGTAATAGCAAGTTCATGCTTAAACCTTGCTTATTTTGATCATAAGCATTATCGCACTTGATTTGGCTTTGACAGGATTGCAACACAACCATCCTTTGAATCTAACTTGACTGCAGTCGCAGTTAACTTAAAATGCTGCGTTAATATCCCATTGTTACCTTTAAATATACGAGCTTCAGCGAGTTATGGGCGAAACTTATCTGCTACAGGACCGGTGATATCTAAAAAGATCCGAATATAACGGGGCAAACCGTCTATTTATTGGGAGACCAACATGTAACGGTCTATGGTATACGGTAAAATGTCTTGCTATACAAGTGCCCAGAGAGCGCTAAATGGAATTTATGCCAATAGTTTTCGTATATGGGTTTCAAGCTCGTTGGCCATCCATTCATAACCAACTGCGACTTGAAGGACAGTTTCTACAACACTTTAACTAACCGTAATCTTTGCTGATAGAAAATGATGGCGGATCTGACTCCCAGGTCCGATGATCAAATGTTCCTGGACAAAAGGGGGCATTTCAAAGTGAAACGTTGTTTTGACGTAAAGTCATCTGCAGATACCTCCTCGCTTAAATGCAGCGGTCGAACAATTTTTCTGCCGTAAAATTATTTTATTCAGTTCTTTCATTCGCGCTAATTGTTGCTGCATTTAATTTGACAAAAGGCCATGTGCCATTGAAATAAAATGACATTTTCCAACAGTTGTCGTATCTAACGATCTGGAGAGTTGTGTTTGCTGTTGTTTATTACTGTCATGTTGGACGATGCTTTGGCGGAAAATTTCATCAGCGACAAACATAAATAACAATTTTTTTCATTTTCCTTGCTTAAGTGTGAATAGGGCTGTCTATCAACTAAAATAAGCCCCAAATCCGAATTTTTCCTCGTCCATGTTGTTACTTCGCCTATATGCTTAGTCGCTCTGCTCTCCTGCGAGGAGTACCTTCAAACTTTTTTCTTTCCGCTGATCCGATCGACAGAGCAATATCACATCTCTATTGCAAATTTTATGTTTGTCTGTAAAATATGCAATACACACAAATTATCGCCCCATCTGAGGGAACTTTTCTATGTTGGCCTTACCTCTGTTTTTCTTAGGAAGTGAAGCGAGGGAGTTGGAATCAGTGTGACGCAAATTAATTTTAAATTTTCTGTCTGACGCATAACTGGGCCTAGAGGTGAAAGCTGCTGCCAAAATCTACCACCCATTAACACAATATGTAAAGGCTACTTAAAGGTGGCTAGTAGCAATCCTAATTTCGTTTAATATATTAAGCGGCCGTAGGAACGTTTGGCAGTCGTACCAGTTTTGAAACCATCATTCAAGGAGTGGTTCGAATTACAGTTTAAGTGCAGCCAAGAGAGCAAAGTATTTACAACCAAGTAAGAACCATTACTTAGAAGCTGCAACAAACTCTCTCTAGAGATCACAAATATTCGAGCTCGGAGGAAACGATTTTCTGCACTGTAGTGCCCGTACGGCAGTGCATCGACCAGGCTAACGAAAGTAACAACCAAAGAAGTGTGTGAGTTTTGTCTACGAATGTGCACAAGAGTGTCCAGTTTCCACGGATCATCGAGGTCTAGAGTAAAGAGTAACATTTTATCAACAGAAGTATTTTGAAAGCAAATTTTCGTTCTTGTAAACTTGCTTTCCGAAACACCGAGAGCCTCTAAATAAATAAAAGATTCGCTATTTGTCATCACGTTTGCTCGTTCACAGTGTCGGCTCTATCAGTATCTTGTGACGTCCGTTTCCCCGAAGAAGGAACCAGACTTCGATACAGATGGTTAGTTCAACGAATCTTTGCGTACAAATTTGTCCGTACAATGTTTTGCAATCGCTGGTCCGACCGACAGCGGCAAAACCACAAGTGTTTGTAATAATAAGTGCAAAGAGAAGCCCACCAGTACAGTAGGAGAACAGCACAGTCAATCAAACGTCCTCTACGACAATATATGCCCAGCTCACAGATGTCGCTCAGTTTTCAGTCGTCAGGTTCTCATTACGATACAACGCAGGGGAATAAACGGCAGATGTGCTATTACAAGAAATGTTAATCGAGGTTCCGAAATTTTTATTTGTCCCGAAAAAATTATTTAAGAAGGGTTTTAAGATTTCCCGTCGTACGGCTTGATCTGAAGGTGTTCCAGTCACATCGGAATGTCGGATTTTGAACGAAATTTCTTCGGTAATTTGCAAAAACTACACTATAATAAAGAATTGGTTGAGTGAAGTGATTTTCAAGGATTATGGATGCCCTTATAAATTCAAATACATTTGATAGAAAACCTGCGCAAAAATGTTCGCTCTCTTACTCATTAATTAGCGAGCACATTGTATGCCTGAAGAAGTAGTATCTCCTGGTTTTTAAAGATTCCTAAACGTGATATTTTTAAGACCGTTAAATGTCTACTCATAATACACGGTAACTCTACACTTATTAATGTTGTTTGGAAAGTACGCAGTACGGTTTAAACTCGCTGCAAAGTTTTATCTTAACGACATATTGATATGTATGATCTTCCTTACACAAAAAACAGTCAGTTTGTGGTTTGGATATTCTGAATGCAACTGTGCCGGCAGGCCGGATTTAAAATGATGCAGGAATTGAAAACGTCCCTTAAAAACTTAAAGTATGGAATTTCAACAAGACATAATTTGCTGGCGAACGAAGAGAAGAGGGAATTCTTTCGTAAACGTTTTACACAAAACATACTTGAATTTATAAGGTCATTAACAAAATCAATGAGAAAACATCATGCTTCTTATGGAGTCATTTTTTACAGAGTTTGTTTTCGGCAGACGGATGGAAGGAAGCCAATCAATAGCCGGCATCCTTTTATGACTGAAAATTCTTGAGACTTTGTTGTATGGCCATTGCCACTAAAACCCCTGCTTAATTTATCTTTTCGAATTGAAAAAATGCTTCAAGATACTTCCTGAGATGGCGCATCTACTGCAAGTAGGCTGTCCGCCAAAATAATAAGAAACACG